TTGTTTATGCGGCTCCATGTTATAAGTGTGTGGTGTATATATAGTAAGTAAACCTTTATATAGAGTGGTAGTTGGTGTTTATCCGACTCCACTAATGTAGTGTGTCTATTTCTGGATGATCCTAAGTGGCTCTGTTGAGTGGGGTGCACAAAGACAGCACTGTCATGGAGGCTATGGTGACAGACTCGTAGTCTTTACACACAATGCAGAATGAAGTGCACAAAGACTGCACTGTCATGACAAAAAAGGGAATGACATTTTTAACATATTGTTAAAACAGTGTAATTAGAAATTATAATAATAATAATTATGTGTTGTGAGTGGCTGTTTGTACTAGTCTATACTAAAGACAGTTATATAGTGGTAGCAATTAGCACAAGGCCACGGTTTAACATTGATCCCTTGTACAGACAGTATACTGAATCCCAGCCAACTACCTATATCACCTTAATGGTAAGTGCATGGCAGGGTAAAAACAAATACCATCTTTTAATGTCTTTAGGTGAGGTGAGGTGAAATTGGGTTTAACGTCGTGCTTGAGAATATTTCTGCTCATATGACGATGTGCATGCTTGTGTATGTGTATGTGTGGCTGCTTGTGCTAGCCCAGACTTGAGCTGGTTTTATAGTGCTAGCCCACTGAGATACCATGCCGCAGTGAAGCATGAATACCCCACTCAGACACATTATACTGACTCCGAGCCGACCAGTCCTTGTTGTACCCATTAATGCCGAGCGCCAGACAGGGACCAACAAGTACCATATTTTAACGTCTTTTGGTATGACACGGTCGGGGATCGAACCCGCGACCTTCCGCTCTTTGGACGGACGCTCTAACCACTACACCACAGAGGCGGTTTGTCTTTAGGTAGACTCAGGAGATCGAACCCGCGACCTTCCGCACTCCGGGCGGACGCTCTAACCACTACACCACAGAGGCGGTTTGTCTTTAGGTAGAGTCAGGAGATCGAACCGTGACCCTCCTCCTGCCCACATTGGTTCTTTGTATTGGTTGTTGTTTAACACCACACTCAGCAATATTTCAGCTATAATGGCGGTGGTCTGTAAATAATCTGGTCTGGACCAAACAATCCAGTGATCATCAGCATGAGCATCAATCTACGCACTTAGGGTTTGATGACATGTTAACCAAGTCAACGAGCCTTACCACTCGATCCCGTTAGTCACTTGTTACGACAAGCATGGGTGTTGAAAACCAATTCTAACCCGGATCTTCACGGGTAGAGCAGAAAGGCAGTCTAGTAAATAGTGATATGAAGAGCAGCCAATTGGGCAGGTTCAGGACACCAAGATCCAGTGATCCTTTGGTTGTCTGTTTCAATCCCAAATCACCAGTGGCATAAATATCCTACTTGGGAATTCCAGGTTAGAACAGGTCCCCAGCAACTCAGTGGATTGGGTTGTCAGACTGTTTGACTTTGTCTTTTTGATGTCGTCATACCCTGATGTGTGCAGGATTCATTCAGATTGATACTGGGGTGGGGTGGGGGATAGACTAGTGGTTAAGGCGTTCGCCCGTCACGCCAAATATCCGGGTTCGATTCCCCACATGGGCACATTGTGTGAAGCCCATTTCTGGTGTCCCCAGCTGTGATATTGCTGGAATATTGCTAAAAGTGGCTTAAAACTAAACTCACTCACTCACTCACTCTGATTCATACTGGTTATTTGAGTTTCCCATCATAATTGTGGCAAATAGGAACCTGTCTTAAGGTTATTGAAAATTATGTTTTGAGGCTGGTATTTTTTTCTTCTCGTGATCTACCAGTGACAAACAATTAAATACTTTGACTAAAGTAAAGTAAGGTTGATTATTCATTGTGTATGTAAGTTTATTATAGCATTGCATTTTTATGGATTTTATTATATCCTTGAAAACTAGTGTAAATATCGTGTAAATGTTTAGAGCCCTGTTTGACAAAGTAATCGTAGTGATATGACTATCATGACTCACATACTTTAACATAGACCTATGGCAATCATGGCGGTACAATCACTTTGTCACATGGGCCCCCCGGCTCACAGTGTAGGAAGCTTGTGTGTACCAATGAAGGACTCCGCTCTGATATCTTTCTGTCCAGGCAAGCCTGAAGAATTTACAATCTACCAAGATATAGCTGGAATTTTTCTAACTGCTGTGATAAACAACAATCAAGTATTATAAACATTCACAGAATGCGATCAATCAATACAGTTTAAAAGTTCATGATTGCCCGCACCATCAAATATCAGGGTCTCTTGTCTGTTGGGTTAATAATCTTCATAATGTCTCAACTGTTTCTTGTTGGAAGAAGCTGTTGTGCCTGGCTTAATAAAGAGGTGGATTAGGGTAGAGGCTATTCATGATACTGTTTCCCTGTGCCTGTGGAGATGTAAGATTTTCCTGAAGTCTAGGTATAATAACAGGTATGTCGTGCCCTGACTCACCCTGGTCGCTGACTACATTAAGTTTTATATTACAGTGTGGTGAAGATTGCTATCTAACTAGCTCCCATCTAATCTGGAATCTTAATATAAATTCCTCGAGTGCGATTTGAATGAATATACATTGCTTGATGGCGACCTGGCTGCTTGTGGTGGAGAAATTAGAATCAGTTATGGGTTGTGTCGTCCTGTCTATCTAATAGAGGCTTATTTGTCTGAGTGAAGTGCTCGTAGATTATCCACCAATCAATAAGCTCATGTGGTGGATTCCAGTACAACATACTGTGTTGCTGTAAGGAACAATCAGACCTTTTGTCGGAGATGTATTTGTGGGTTGAGTAATCAAAAGGAATGCTTTTCGAGCTGATTGATTTTTGGTACTGAAAACAAATATGTTGAGGTAATAAGAAGTATCCTTGTGTTGTATAAGATTGCCAGAAGCTGTGTTAATGATCCTTGAAGATAATAGAAAAAATAACCTACATTTTTTCAGAATGCACATAGTCTTTACTCATATACCTGGCCCCTTTATGTTTTAACGAGGTAGGTATGAGTACAATATATAACAAGTTTTATGGATAACAACTTCTTTATTTTTCAGGAAGATTCTTGTCCCGTTGTCAAGCAAGAGTCACTCTTTGCTTCGACAACGGTACAGCGAATCTGTATCGAAACGTCAAAGACTCACTCTAAAATACCACAGAACTTCTAAAATGCCACTCAAACAAGTTAGGTGAATATTTGCTTACCACAGAAAATGAGAACTGAATATTTAACTTAATTAGTGAAGTTGTTTTATTATTTCCACAGTTTAGAACCGATATGATCGTCTGAAACAAACCGTGCATAAATTCCTTCTCCTGCCCTGGAGAACGCCTGAGTTGCCTGAGTGTGAAGATGCACAAACACACACTGGTGCAGGGGTGGAAATAACCCATTGCCCGAAGTCCGAGTCCAGTGTTTTTTTCTGTTGGGCAAGCAAATTTGTATATCATGCTGTACCAGTTGACTTTCCAATGTTAATTATGTTGTTTATTTAAAAATTCAACAAGAAAACGGCCGGTATAGTGGAAAAATTATCAGGGCAAGTGATTTTACATGTGACACTGTACCCGAGTACACTAGCAATTTTAAAGTTATTTCCACCCCTGTGGTGCAGTCATGTCTTGCACCACTATCACTTGGGGTGACTATTGAGGCGGAAACAACTATTGTGATAGCGATAGTCTATTGCAACATACTATTGCGATACTATTGCAATAGTTTTTTCTTCTTGAATTGTCTCATTTGAAGTCATTTCCCAAATGAACGTATAGTTTATTTGAAATAAAAACAAGTTGAAGTAGTTTCAGTCTCTTTTAATTACTGACAAGAAACTTTAAACCCAGATCAGTTAAAACAGAAACTCAATGAAGCTGCAAGTCTTCCGGGCGATAACTCTACATCAAAGTGAACAAATCTGGTACTTCCTGTATTTTGCGCTGTGCATTTATCAGCGGAAGTCAATTACTAAACTATCAATTGTCATACATACTATCGATGCATCGATAGTTTTTTGTTTCTACAATCGATTAATCGCTGGCGGAGACTCAACAATTGCGATCCATCGATAGTACGATGCATCGTTACAGCCCTAACTATCACTACCATATTATACAAGGCAGTTCTTTGGATTATAAAAAACAACTGAAGTCAGTGTACTTGGTGATAGCAGAATTCCTTCAGTGTGATATGGAGGTTGATATGCAGAATAATTATCATGCCTTAATGGTAACTTTCAGAGGAGTATGGCCATTTTAAGTATTTAAACATCAAATGAAGTTGCATCATAAATTGTACCAATCAGTTCAGTGTCTGTGGTCTGTCCAACTAACGGGATCGGGTGGTCAGGCTCGCTGGCTTGGTTGACACACGTCATCGGTTCCCAGTTGCGCAGATTGATGCTCATGCTGTTGATCACTGGATTGTCTGGCCCAGACTCGATTATTTACAGACCACAGCCAAATAGCTGGAATATTGCTGAGTGCGGCGTAAAACTAAACTCACTCATTCACTCACTGTGGTCTGTAGAACAGTAATACCATTGTAAACAAAGGATAAATACACAAACCCAAATTCTTTCCTGGTTTTATGATTTTATCCATGGAAGTTTACCATTTCATGTCAAACATTTATGTATGGGAGATTATTTTCTAGAAAATGGATGACTAAAGAATATGATTTGTTGAGTAATGGACTGTGTTCAATGCAACGAATCGCCACATTCGACTGGTGGGGGTGCACAAGGAACGGCACATTGGAACATTGAAATGTGCTTATCAGTGTTAATCTTTTGATCGTTTGAGGGTTAGTGAACAAATAAATAGCCTCACCTTCACCTCTGCTTCAGTAAATAATAAATCTTAAAAATTCTCAGTAAAATATGAAGTGATGTGTATGTGAATGGCCTTATAAGGATTACTTACAGATTGGTCTGGTGCTCTGATGATCACATCACAATATATAATGTGTGTCTGAATTTGTCACAGCTGAAAGTTATGCTCTCTGTATTTCAGAATTGTTTGAGAAAATACGAGAGAAGATACGCCAGCAGCGCCTTACAGCATCATCTTCAGGTATGTGGCAGCACTGTGTGAAAATAGGTTGTCGTTAGGCAAGTAGTTTCTCCTTCCAAATGTAGTTCTGTTGTAGACTAGAATTGTAGATACAACCTGACAGTGATTAGTGTTGATGGTGGGGTGACACCAAGCCTTGTAAGTTTATGATTCAGATACATCTTATATGTGCATAAAAACTTTGCTGTAGTGCCGTTGTACCCCCATCGTCTTTAATACTCAAACTTTTCAACTTCCTCTATCAAAGCACAAAGCTGTGTGTTCAGGATAGAAGTCACCCTGCTGCCCCCTGCCCTGTGTTATCTCCCTTGGTGACTCCAAGACCCCTTTATTACACACAAACCTTTCAACTTCCTCTATCAAAGCACAAAGCTGTGTGTTCAGGATAGAAGTCACCATGCTGCCCCCTGCCCTGTGTTATCTCCCTTGGTGACTCCAAGGCCCCTTTATTACACACAAACCTTTCAACTTCCTCTATCAAAGCACAAAGCTGTGTGTTCAGGATAGAAGTCACCATGCTGCCCCTGCCCTGTGTTATCTCCCTTGGTGACTCCAAGGCCCTTTATTACACACAAACCTTTCAACTTCCTCTATCAAAGCACAAAGCTTGTGTTCAGGGAAATGCTGCCCCTGCCCTGTGTTATCTTTGGCTGATCAAGGCCCCATGCTTGGGTAGGAATGTTGAGGGAAGCGATTGTTTTTATCACGACTTGAGTAGGGTTGACAAGCAGGATCACAGTCATGGGAATCGATGGCAGTTTTATCTACTTAGTGTTCAAGAGCTCCACAAAAATGTAGCTTCTAATTCTATGTGTAAGAACTGTCTTTTGTTCAGTTGACTCCCTTGACGGGAAGACTGTTAAACAGAGATGTTGACACTAGTTAAGTGAGAGTCAGTTGAAGAACACATGTCAGAAGAACATCAAGTAAGGAGAGTTTAAAGACATCCCTAAAGTCTTCATTTACTAATGCATCTGATATGAGCTACTCGTGAAAAAAGAAGACAGAATTTAAACACAGTTTGGTGATCTGGTGTCAGAAAGGGCCTGAAACTTGTTACAAGGGCTGACAATGATAAGAAAGGAGTAGTCTGTGATTTAAGCCACTTGTCTGAAGCCTGAGTCAGGTAAACCTTCTGTTTGGTCTATTAAGTTCAGAAATATCAGTTCATACTGAAATTGATCTAAGATGATATTCAGACCACAAGTTTGGATTCCTCGACTCAAGCATGTTTGCTTGAGGCTGTAGTCTGGCTGGCCCTGTGATTTTGTGCCATTGTATTCTGATTGTGTGGATTGCTGCTGTGAATGCTGTTAATCTCTGCCTCGTCACAAATTATTTGTTTACATGCTGCTGTGGTATTGGAATGTTACTTACTGACACATACTGAGATGGGGAGATCAGGTAGCCTAGTGGTTAAAGTATTCGCTTGTCACGCCGAAAACCCTGGTTCGATTCCCAACATGGGTACAATGTGTGAAGACCATTTCTGGTGTCCCCCGCCATGATATTGCTGAAAAAAAGCTGCAAAAACTAAAATTCACTCACACGGTGATCAACATGTTTATACAGACAATATGGAGGGGACACAGGAGACCAAGTAAAGCACTGTAATTGTTGTACAGAGTTGTATCCCTTTGGCATGCCAGGAACTCCTAGGTTTGCCCTGATCATGTTACTTGGTTTGTCAGCACCATACCCATGCTGACATCTTTCACCAAAGTTGTAAATGTCAAAGACATGCATTACTTTGGGCTTCCCTGCCGTATCAGCAGTGTATGAAATTAGCCCAAACCCCCGACCAGACATCAGGGTTGGTGGGGTGGTGGGGTAGCCTAGTGGTTAAAGCATCCTCCCATCATGCCGAAGACCCGGGTTCGATTCCCGATATGGGTACAATGTGTGAAGCCCATTTCTGGTGTCCCCTGCCGTGATATTGCTGGAATATTGCTTGAAGCGGCGTAAAACTAAACTCACTCACTCACTCGTCAGGGCTGGTAGCTTCAAAATGTCCAGACCAGACACCAACATATGGTGAATTTATTCAGATGATTGGAATATCTAAAAAAAATTGACCAGACCATCGGGCTGGCTAGCTGTAAATTTAGACCGTCCGTCAGAAATCTAGCCCGTCTCGGGCGGTCGGACAGGCCTTATTTCATATTCTGATATCTGATATTCTGATATAAGTTGTGATACAACTGAATTATTGTTCAAAGAGGCAAATTTACATTATCAGTCAGTTTACTCATAGCCAGTTGGTAATCCTGACACATTTTTGTTTGTTCAGATACCAGTCAAGACAGCATAGTTGCAGCATCTGGAGGATCGTCCGAGACATCAGACAACCCTCAACATGTCCTCCACGGCATCAGCGATGCTGTCCACACCACTGCTGTAGGAGACGGCGTGGGAGACATATGGGTACAATGTGTGAAGCCCATTTCTGGTGTCCCCTGCTGTGATATTGCTGGAATATTGCTAGAAGCGGCGTAAAACTAACTCACTCACTCACTCACTCATCAGGGCTGGTAACTTCAAAATGTCCAGACCAGACACCAGGATATGGTGAATTTATTCAGATGTATGGAATATCTAAAAAAATTGACCAGACCATCGGGCTGGCTAGCTGTAAATTTAGCCCGTCCGTAATCTCGCTCGGGCGGTTGGACGAGCCTTATTTCATATTCTGATATCAGGCTTATAGGTTGTGATACAACTGAATTATTGTTCAAAGAGGCAAATTTACATCATCATTCAGTTTACTCATAGCCAGTTGGTAATCCTGACCAATTTGTTTGTTCAGATACCAGTCAAGACAGCATAGTTGCAGCATCTGGAGGATCGTCCGAGACAGCAGACAACCCTCAACATGTCCTCCACGGCATCGGATGCTGTCCACACCACTGCTGTAGGAGACGGCGTGGGAGACAGACAGCCCAGAGTACGCAAGGTGGCAGCAGGACCACCACTTCCTGTATATAAAGGTGAGTTCGGTGATACCTGTGAGGAATACATGCATGTTTTCAGACTAGGAGGATGAACATGAAAAGTTATTGTATAAACTAATACTGGTTTTGAATGAATGAGTTAGAACATAACCTTGGTGGTGAGAGTCCCTGTAGACTTAAAAGCTGCAAATTGTTTTGGACAGATCATTGTTATATGATACATTGAGTGTTTAGACTGCACAGTAACACACTCATAAATTGGCAAGAAAGGATATTTTGCTAAGCAGTCCATATTTCTATGGGTTTTATCATTAGTGAAACAAATTGAAATAAATTAAGATATATTTCAAGTATGCCTCTGCTATTTGCGCCTTAGTACATAAAGCGGTGCTTGTCGCACCTAAGACCTGAGTTCAAGTCCCCATATTTGTACAATGTGTGAAGCCCATTTCTGGTGTCTCCTGCCATGATATTGCTGGAATAATGCTTAAAAGCTTTCACACATTCATGATTCTGCATTGCTGGTGGCAGCTAAGCTTCTTGACTACAAGATTGACCCAGCAAGAAGGGGAAAGCTAACATATGGCTCTCATTTGGTCTTCAATGAAAGATAGTTGTCTTGAGGAAGAAAATAGCAGTGTGTTCATGACACTGTATCACTATCTGGACCAAGGTATAACTGTATCTTACAATACAAGAGTCCAGGCAATTCACTGCCATATTGTGTGGCCCCATTGGGCGACATGGAACCTTTGTACATGAGTGAGTGAGTTTTGGTTTTACGCCGCTTTTAGCAATATTCCAGCAATATCACGTGCGGGGACACCAGAAATGGGCTGAACACATTGTACCCATGTGGGGAATCGAACCCGGGTCTCGGCGTGACGAGCAAACGCCTACGCCTTAACCACTAGGCTACCCCACCTTTTGTACATGAACAGATCTAGTATATGAGATGGTAGCGTCTGCTTCAGTGAACAAAAACAAAGATGACTGAGTGTATCTACACACAGATAAGAAGCTACATCTTCACCTCACTGATGAATTGTGACTGTGTTTATTGTGGCTGTTCTCATCTATTAAGTATTAGTCAAACACTGTTGTGAGCTGGATGGGCACACCATATTTACTCCCTTGTCATGGAGTTATCTTATTTTCATTATCAACCCCCTCAGCAGACAACTTATGACATCTTCAAAATGCAAACAGTATGTGTACCTTGTGTGGTTCGAATATGGTGAATAGTGGTAATAAAATAGTTCCCCTTAGAGGCGGTTTGAAGTGGGGCGAGGTTTGAAGTGTGAAGATATGAAATTGTTGTAAATCTGTTTGTAGTCAGCTTGTCAGAGGGCTACCTGTTAACCTCGTAAACTGAAGGTGTGAGTGTTAACAAGGCACGCTGATCCAATACTGGCTCCTGTAGGCCATCTTGGTCCCTGAGTGTCACGATCGCTGTCAGTTCCACATACCCCGAGTCCGATGTTGACAGGCGGATGTAGTTGTAGTGGCTGTAAATAGTTCCACATTCCAAGAGGTCATGACTTACGACAATATCAGAATGTCCGACTGATAAACTGGTGGAATATTAAGTCCTTGAATGACATTTAGGAGTGATACACATGAGGGGAAAAAATATTGATGTCAAATTCTGTAATATGGGGAACACAAAGTTCCTGATTAAGGAGTTGGAACATACAATGAAACGTCACATGCCTCATATTACACAATTTGACATCCATAAATTTCCCCTTAGGGGAATATGTTCCAATGTCTCATTTCACTGAAGTGGAATTGCTGTCTCATTGTCAATAGTGAAGTGGAAAGGTCTTCTGAATGGTTGAAAAGTTGTCATTTGTGTGGGCTGTGGGCTTACAAGTGTACGCTGAACATGTTAATTATGTTGGAATGTACACAATGATGAATATATTATGTTTTGCTGTTTTCTTCAATGCTTCTTTAAACAATATTTCGTTCTTATCATTTCTGTCTGCTTGATGCTGAAAGAAAGCTAGGAGTGATGCAGTTCATAGACAGTTCCCACTTTGCTGAAACGTCTGCGTTTGGATGATGAAAAAACCCCACAAGAAACGTTATCAATGCAATTTGCAGCTAAAGATCACAGGGTTCTGGCTTCTTGAGGGATGCATTATCAGGCCTTAGATTGCCAATTTCACTCTGTTAACTGGAGACATATTTTGGGACAAAATATATAATCAAAGCTCTTAGAACTGGTGATAACTGCTGCTTGATACTGAGAACTGGTGATAACTGGTTCATGGCACCAACTTGATACAAAATGAACGAGGAGAGTTCTGATGGATAATCAACTTCATTAATATAATATGAGTGACGCTTCGTCTGGAATTTCTATGTCCATTCTACTAACACCATTATCAAGCAAATGATGTCATACCAAAAAGGGTTAATTCTAAATGCCACTCAAACAAGTCACTTGATACTGGTTTTCTTAACTCAATGGTATCTTGTGCCATAATGGTCAGTCAAGTGTTTTGAATGACATGACATGACATAGTCTGGATTTTCTGTGTCCATTCTGTTCTGTGCTAAATGCATCTATTTTACTCTTTCAACTGATAGTTTCAGAAACTACTGCAAGGCACCTACAGTCAGCAGATCCATAAGATGTGATTTCAACTCTGTTAAGCTGGACTGTGATTTATTCTGTTGTTGTATTGGGCAGGTTTCGCGGAGGTTCACACCGACCCCCGGTTTCAAATGGTGGTGAGGAGCAAGTCCCCTGTCCCGCGGAAAAAACCCAAAACGACAGTTGGAAAGCTCCAGCGGAAAGTGTCTGCTGATACACACAACGGTAGGTGAAGGTCACAGAGAGGGATTACTCTACCTAAAGTTCATCCTTAAGCATTAGTCAGTATAGTTGGTGGACTGATCTATCTCTCAACTTTCAAGTAAAATCTAATAAAAAATTCTAATATAGTTAGAGAATAACACTTAAGCTATCTCATTAACGTGTTGTTGAGTGAATTTATGAAGACGCCATTTGAAACAAGCTGCAGTGAGTTACTTCCCTTCAAAGACTAAATACTCAATTTGGAGGTTATGTTTTACTTATTCAAAAGAAAATAGAAACTATGCTTGATTATTTTCAATTATGTTTCACTTTGATGAAATGTTGGGTTGGCAGATCCATAAACCAGTAATCACGAGTAAGACATAGTGTTATGTTTTATGTTGAAATTGTTTCTGTACATACTACTATGAAATGAGTGTATTTTGTCTTGCAGATGGCACCAGCTCCAGTGAGAAGCCAAAGAGACTGAGAGTTGTGGCCCCTGAGAAAGAGACTTCTCAGCCTGGTGCTAAAGGTAGGCTAGGAGAAGCGTCATGTCTTATAAGGGACAAAGCAATGCATCATGTGTAATATTTCAGTAAAGATCCAGTTATGACCTGTCGTAAGACTACTGATTGGATTGGGGTGGTTGGATAGCCTAGTATTTTAAGCGTTTGCTTGTCACGCTGAAGATCCGGGTTCGATTCCCCACATGGGTACAATGTGTGAAGCCCATTTCAGGTGTCCCCTGCCGTGATATTGGTGGAATATTGCTAAAAGCGGCGTAAAAAGAAATACTCTCTCACTCACTGGATTTGGTCATGAGTGTTGCTAGCTTTTTTAGATGCATGTCACTGACTGACTGACTGAGTTTTTACACCGCTTTTAGCAATATTCCAGCAACATCACGGCGGGGGACACCGAAAATGGGCTTCACACATTGTACCCATGTGGGGATTCGAACCCGGGTCTATGGCGTTACGAGCCAACGCTTTAACCACTAGGCTACCCCACCGCCCCCGATGCATGTCATGTTATGGTAATTGCATAGATGTATGTTTATAATTATATTATGAATATGTATATGACCAAACATGTGATGAGCCAAAGTAATAGAATGACCATGAATTTGGGGGGAAGTAGTCCCAAAGGCAGTGAAGATTGCACTGAAAATTCGGGCCCCACCCTGACCCCAGATTGACAGTGTTGGTTTGAGATTGTTGTCGCCTTGCAGGTATCATCACAACATCGTCATGGCGGGCGGGGCAGCAGCTCATTCTCCAGACACTTGGACCGGCCAAGACAACCAAGAAGTCTTCCCAGGGCAAGAAGTCAGATAATGTCAACTCAACAGGCAAGTAGTGTTGGGAATTGGTTGAAATCTCACAATTGATGATTGGTTTAATACCAACGACCAATCATCGAAAAAAATTGGTTCGCGTCATTTTTTAGATTTTCCTATTCAGGTTGTAGTTGCAGATAAGTATAAAGAAAAAACATTTGGTTCTCTGTTGTTGTTTTTTGAAACTGCACAAATTACATTTGCAAATTTCACATCCAGTGTAAAATGATTCAGTTCCAGTGTAACATAAGCTTCCCAGATTCTTCAAGAAATATTCAGTCATGACTTTTCAGAAAGTGAAGTGAGTTTTCTTAGAAATAAACACGTTTTCCGGCCCTGACAACGTCCTAGATATGTTCCATCATCAAGTATTTCAAACTCTATTACAGCGGTTCCAAAATCGTTTGTGTTCGATTATGAGAAAATGTGATCGATTGCTTGGTCGTTTGGCCACTGTGACGAATTTTCGATTGTTTCAATTAATCTGAACACCACTACAGGCAAGAAGCCATTTTGCATACATGTTAAAAAAGTTTTTGAAATTACAGGACCGACATATCTCAATAGTTGTAACCGCTAAAGACCCATAAGACATAAAGTCTTCCGTACAGTTATATGCTCCTTCAGTCTTTGACGTCTGCTTCGATAATATTTGAATCCAAGAGACCCTCATTCTTTCACTTTCAACATTGGATTTAAATAGAAGCTCTAAGCTTTCACCCTTAGAATTTGACACTGCTGAACCAGCCATAAGTTGAGCAGATTCACCATCTACAGGGTACAATGAAAGGTCACTGACACTTCTCCCACTGGGGCTAAACTGCACCTTGGACTGGCTTTCAAAGTATCAGAATTCAGATTTATTCACTATGCATTATGTGGGTTTAACATTATGGCAAAGGTTGGACAGGTCACACACCTTTACCTGAGTAGTTTATTATGTGTCCTTATAGGACATCCTTTGATGTTTTTACTTGAAAATTGGAATTGAGTCCTTTTGTATAATTCAGTGTTATTCATTACGGCATTTTGGATTTAACAGATGACAATAAGAATGAGGATGTACGTCGCCCTGATGGTGCTGAGACACACAACCTTTTCTCCTCGGGCAACAGAGAGGGTGCAGTGGGAGGCAACTCCGTCTCCAGGACAACCAAGTCTCTCCCCGATGATGCAAAACGGATACTGGATGACCTTCAGCTAGATGGTCAGTTTTAAAGTCCAAATGCAGGAGACTTTAGATCCTTGAAAGTCTGATCAGAAACAAGGCCCATGCAGCTTGTAAAGCTTTGATTTCACATAAGTCAACCTGAAACTAATAATTATGATGCAAAATATTGATTGTGTTTGTATGTTATTTGTGAGTCCTTGATAATTCCCTGAAATAATATCACTGAGGTCAAGTGTGAAGGTTTCAAATCCTCATGGTTGAGATTTTAAAGTAAAACGGGCTCACTAGCAAGTGTCTGTTTTGAACGATACAAATATGCCATTCTTAGTTCAGAGTATCCGACCCTACAGCATGGATTAATGCTGAAGGCACAAAGTTCTGGTTTGTAAGGCCCAGATTTGAGTTTTCACAGACTGCTTTCATTCATTGCTCCTGATGATTTGAAGACACCACGTGACCTCTCATCTCTGACATGTGATCTCTGTTCAGGTGATGGCGTGGATGGTGGACACACGAGGTATAGGAGGCAGGCTGTCAAGAGGAAAGCCCTGAAGCCTTCTGGTGAGTTATAGCAGATGTGCTGCTGTAATAATCATCTGAAATGGAAGAGACTGTGCATAGCCCGTTGAAAGTACTGCCATACAATCTTGGCATGAGATTTACAATTTTCTTTTGTTCAATTTTCAGATTTTGAGAACGTTGTTAAAATAATTTCCTCAGCATATTCTTGAATGGAAGTTGCTACTTTGAAAAGCTTCGGAAAGCTGCTTTCATGTTTTTTGGTGTTGAGCTAGAAAGCACTAAGGTCTGATGTTAAGGACATTGTGATTGATCATTTGAGTCAGCCTTCAAATTTTGGGATGTAAGTTTCAATATTTTCTAAGAATTGGATTTTATTGAAACAATATCTGTTCACATCCACTCATTTGACCACCACAGAGCCAGAGAAGCAGCTGTCTGCTGCCTCAAAACAGCGTCACTATGACCAGAGCAAGGTGCGCAAGTTCATCGCGAAACAGAAGGCAGAGGCAGAGCGATTGCGTCAAAAGAAGGAAGAGGACCGAGCACATCGGGCTGAACAGGAGAAGAGACAGCGCCACCTAGCGGAGCTGTACAGCAAACAGAAGCCAAAGGACCAGCCGCCCCAACCACAGCCACGTGCTAAGACACGGGGGAGGAGGTCTGGAGGAGAGGATGACCCACTACGTCGTGATCATCGGACTGTGGGATTAGTGAGTCCTTGACCTCATTTGTCTGTCAGGCTGATTTTGATATATGTGTCTGTAGGAGAGACTGACAGCTTGCAAAAAGACAAGCTGAATCTATTTAGACACCGATCTAATTTGAAAATGTTTTGACACTTTAAGTGCTAGGTGGGTCTAAAGTTTCTTAATGTTTTTATGCAGACTTCTGTCAACATTGCTTCTTTTGTCACATTCATGCAGCACCCCAGAATATGATAACACATGTATCACCATATAGTGTCTGCCAAATGGTTCTCACACTACTAGATGACTTGTCTCTTTGCGTAATTTTTAGTAGAATTTATTGTTATTATACAGGTTATTACTGGCTGAATCTACCAGACCAACAGATTTTTCCTGGAGACAAATGTCATCATTAAGTTTTCACTGTTTTAGCAAATGTTTGAATTAGAAGAAAAGACATTCTTCTGTTTTGGTACCAAAATTGAAAAATATCTGTTGGACATTTTGAATAACAATGACAGTGTCCTAGAAAATAAACTGTTATAAAAACTTGTGGAATATAATTTCCAAGTTTGTGTCTCAGAACCTAGACTCTGACAAGGAGAATGCAGTTGGTGGAGCAGGTATGGAGATGGACGATGACGACTCCACCCTGACGGAGGGGACTGAAGAGGACGTTACACCGACAGGCACGCCCCGAGACAGACGGTAGGCACATACGTCATCCATCTGACATCAGACCAGAATCCGTAGCTGTATTTCTGACTTGTGTGAAATATAAACTGCCAGACTCAATATATCACTTGTTCAGGTGACAACTGAAGACAACTCTGGTTTTATGTTTATTTCTGAAAAGAATGCAAAAACATGAAAGTCAGTTGTTTTGAGCAAACAAACAAACAAACAAATACTTCACAGGCTGCTTCTTTACTCTTTAACAAACAATAGGTGTGATGGAGTTGCCTAGTGGTTAAAGCTTTCGCTCATGACGCCGAGGACTCGGGTTTGATTCCCCACTTGGATACAATGTGTGAAGCCCATTTCTGGTGTCCCCTGTCGTGATATTGCTAGAGTATTAAAATCACTCACTCACTCACTCACTCACTCACTCACTCACTCACTCACTCACTCACTCACTCACTCACTCACTCACTCACTCACTCACTCACTCACTCACTCACTCACTCACTCACTCACTCATTCTCACTCACTCACTCACTCACTCACTCTATCTCCTCACTCACTCTAACAACAACGCGAAATAAGTGACATCATTCATGGCAATACAGAAACTCAAGTTCTACCCGCTACTTTTATCAACCAATGTGGAAACAGTAGTGGGTGTGGCTTACATTTGCATTGGTTTTTTGGAAGCAGAAAGTCAAAACGAATTGTGCTTGGTAAGGCAATGAAATGCCATAGAATCACTAAAGATTTATTTTCCTGCCACCCTCACCCTGAATATTGCGATGCAAGCGAGATCAATCGATAGAGCAATTGTTTGATCAAACTATTAGCAGGGATGAGAATTTTCCACGGATTTGATCATACTGAGGTCATTGGATCTGGCATGGGCACCTGCGGTTCATTTTACTCTTTTTTCACTCCTACCCATTCTCATCTGTGTATTAGTTGCATTCTTTAGCTGCTGTATCTGCTGTACAAATCTCAGCTTCATCAGATACCTTTCCTGTTTCATCAGAGATCCAGAGGTTCCTCACCAGTTCCACACAGCTCAGCCAGCTCCTGTCACAGTCGGAGGGCAGAAACTCAACCTTGATGTAGCTGCTGTCCTGTCTAAATTCTCTGAGGTCATCAATCGAAAAAAGGATCTAGGTGGCGCCACCTACCAGCAACCCAACCTTGAACACTCACATCGAAGCCAGGCTGACCGTATCCGGGCAGTGAAGGAGACTTCAGCTACGTTACAGAACAAGCTGGTCGTGTCTCGCAACATTATGGAAGGTGAGTGGAGTTTTTGAAGTCTACTGATAATATCAGAGGCCATTTATAGCTTAGTCGTCCTTGGTGCTGCTGTTTACTGTGCAGAGTTCAGGGTCGGTGGGCTGCCTAGTGGTTAAAGCGTTCACTCGTCACGCCGAAGACCCTGGTTCGATTCCCCACATGGGTACAGTGTGTGAAGCCCATTTCTTGTGTCCCAGCTGTGATATTGCTGGAATATTGCTAAAAGCGGCATAAAACTAAATTCACTCGCTCACTCACTGTGCAAAGTTCCATCAGCTGGCACACCAGAAACCTATGATGGTTCCAATCCTGGGTTATGCTGATGGTGTTTCTAGGTTTGACACGCCATACCGTGGATGGAGAAAACAGAACTGATGGACTGACGACCGTTTGTTGTGACCCTCTAATTCTCTGCATGATTATTTCTGTATGTTCCTAAATCTCTTAACATTTAGTTGTCACTATTTGTCAGTCAACTCCAAGAGTCAGATTTCATGTTCTTTCACCAATGACAGGATTGTACACATGGACAGCCGAACATGTCTTGACTTTGCACTGAGATTCTATACAAGCTAATTAAAACATATGAGCTTGAAATATTGAAATTCTAAAATCAGAAGCTTAGTGAATTGATTTATTTGTTTCTTTAGCTGCAAACCGTGGCTTGGATGTTAATGCAGTGCCACGCTATGACAGGATCATTGGGTCACGTGATGATTACCACGTGTTTGACAGAAATCTTCCAGGTAAGTTCATTTTAGTTTTAATAAATTCTTAAGTGGTGGTCATTATACTATTTAATTTGAAAGTGTTTCTTTGTAAAGCTTGTATGAAGTTTCAGAGGTTTTCATGGCTTGTATTTACCTTCCCCTCTTTCCTTCAAGGATCTCGCCTTGTGCCAGGTGAGAGGGATGCAAACGAGGCTGCGACCCGAATCCAGGCAGCGTACAGAGGTCATACGGTACGCCAGAGCATGAACTGGCCACTTCCCTCGGGTACAACTCTCGGTGAACGATTCAGGACGGGGGAAATGATCGGGGATATTGTAAGTAGCAGAGGATGATTGTGGAATTCTTGTCAGTTTCTGTAAGCTGTGATCGACATCTTACTGGTAACCATGGTAACTTTATGTAGCACACGTAGGAACATGATGGATGCATGGATGGATGCATGCATAAAGAAATATTTGTTATCAGAGTGTTAATCATTGATCATGTGTTGAGAACTTCTTGCATGGACCATGGTGTATTTGCCCTTAGTTGAGGAAAAGATCAGATCCAAGGACTTGAATCCTTACTGTTTCATCATGAATTTGCTTATACCTATCTACTCTCTCCATCATGTACTGCCTTTTGGGACCGCCTCCGTGGTGTAGTGGTAAGAGCGTCCGCCCGGAGAGCGGAAGGTCGTCGGGTTCGATCCCCAACCGCGTCATACCAAAAGATGTTAAAATATGGTACTTGTTGGTCCCTGCCTGGCGCTCGGCATTAATGGGTACAACAAGGACTGGTCAGCTCGAGTCAGTATAATGTGTCTGAAGTGGGGTATTCATGCTTCACTGCGGCATGGTATCTCAGTGGGCTAGCACTATAAAACCAGCTTCAGTCTGGGCTAGTACAAGCAGCCGCACATACACATACACACGCATGCACGTCGTCATATGAGGAAATATTCTCAAGCACGACGTTAAACCCAATTTCACCTCACCTCACCTCACTGCCTTTTGTTTATGTTTGCTGACACTGTAGATTGTGTTAAAGCTGGAGTTCAGCTCACTCACTGACTGTGTGACTCTCTGTTGTAGGATGCCCTAGAAGAGTCTTCCATCACTGAAACCTCAACCTTCAGCGACATCACAATAACTGAAGATTCCGAGAACGAAGTCCATGAACTCCCGCCCTGGACAGGTCAGTTTGTCCGCTACATTAATGCCATTGTTTAAACATTCTTGAAGAGTGTTGGCTTATATTGTAAGAGTCAGGATTGAATAAACATTAGAGAACTATGAAAAGCAAGATAACTGACCTGCTCATTGAAGAAAAATATCCACAGTGATTTGGGGATGATGGGTGTAGTGTTGGCTCATTGTGCTAAAGGTCTGGGTTTGATTCCCCATTTTGGTATAATGGATGAACCAGACAACCTGGTGTCTTCTGCATGCAGACAGTTGAGTAAAACTGGACAATACCCTGCTTGTCTTCATGAATTTGGAATCGTTTATGTCTTTTCTGCAGATGTTGAAGCATGTGCGTGGTGGGGCTAGCGACCATCACCTTCGAACTACTGCCTTCAAGCCTACCAGCAAGTATGTCTGGGAGGAACCACGAGGAGACCCACTGTCAATCATCAACGTCTACCAGCGCAAGATGAAGAGCATGGGCAGGGGTAAGTTATCTCCCTTTAACACCTCTTCCCTGTATAGTTTGCTTGGAATACAGATGAGTTATTTCTCAAACTGACAAAGGAACCAAAATATGCAGAATCTTTTAAAATTATCTACAATACTCACAGCAGTCTAGATTTCGGACTCTATTCTTGTTGTCAATTGATGGACAGTTTACTTGAATAATTCTTTTGATATTTTCACTTCTTAAGTTGCAATGTTGTTATTTCAATCTTTGCTTTGTTCATTCTTCCCGAATATTGTTTAATTACATTTAATACATCTTGTTATCATGAAGAGTTTGAATGTTGGAAGTGTGCTATGTGATGTCCTGTTGATGGTTACTTGTAATATCATGTTCCCACAGAGAATGATCGACTGGCTCCAGCACCCAGTTTTCCAAGGGATAGTGCAATGAATTCTCAAGAGGCTAGGCAGTTAACCAATCAGGGAACATTACCACAGACATCGTCCAATCAAGGAACAGCATCAAGGCTATCCAATCAGCAGTCAGCATCAAGGTCTTCCATCGGTCAACAACCAGCGTCCCGACTGACTGAGTCTGCCTCTGTGGTCAGTGAGCAGATGGGGTTGACATCGGGGAAGGGCGAGGTGCACACACAACCTAAGTCACGGGACCCGGTCAGAGTCCCAGACAAACAAAGTTCCACCCGAGTTGATGATGTGAGTCGCAGGTCTCAGCCAGTGGAGATGTCCCAAGCTGACAGCAGACACAGCAGGTAAATTGGGTGATATAAGACATACATATGGGATAAACAGATGGTGGTTGTAACTGATAGTAAAACACAGCTTTTCATGTGATACAGCATGTATCTTAGTTCTCATCTGATACAGCATATATCTCAAATCTCATGTGATACCGCATGTATCTCAGTTCTCATGTGATTCAGAAGTTGTATGACTCAGTATATAGTACATTAAAGTCATGTGTTTCAGGCGGGACCCAGCCAGTTTTCGGCCTGTTCGAGAAAGCATCACTGATGAATCTTGCATCCAGTCCTTCGAGTAAAGTACTCTCCATCGTCATTAATTGCCAGTCATTCACTGCTGATATAGTTATCTGTAATGCAGTCTTTGGCCACTTTGTACCAACATCAAAAGATGCTTCTTGTTATGATGCCTGTGAAAATGAAGCCTGGTTTTCAACTTGGCTATGTGTCTGTAACTGACATAGGTCCATAATCTGGAACATAGACGCTCATGTTAAACCAGCTGTTATGTGACTTGTATTGTCTAACACTCACTCACTCTGTATGTTCACAGTGAGGAGGATGAAGACAGGACTCCAACAGCCTCCAGACCCAACTCCAGGCCTGGACTTTCACACAACAGTGTCAAGATGTCGGAGGACTCAGGTCAGGATTCTGATGCTTCATTGGTCAGTAATGAGGAAACGCTGAGGTCAAGGTTATCCAGGGTAAGTATGTTCCCCAAGCATTTCTGTCTTAGAATTAACATCGCCTCTTAGAGCCAGTGTTCTTCTAGAAGAAGCACCATAAAATATTTTGTTTGATTCCAGCATGAGTTACCTCCCCCTGGAGCTGAGAGCCGCGAGCCTGGACGCTTCTCCCCAAGCACTCTGGAGCAGAAGATGTATGCAGAGCTGAATCGTCTTGAAAGTATGGAAGTGACACTGCATCAGCTGACCAGTGTTGACCGCACACGTGCTGTCTCCATGGCCCAGCAGGAAACTGTATCCCTGGCGCAGATGCTGAAAGTGAGTTGATTCTCAGAAGGTTTTTTCACTGGTGTAGACTACAGTCTGTTTGAGTAGAAAGTGTTGTGCGCCCCTCCTCGCCAACTGTCAGCAGTCATGTTTATAATGATGATAGTTTGTTAAACAACTTTTTCTTTGATGCATGACAATTTCTAATATCTGAAAAGGTGTTTGGGTATAGGTTATTAATGAAGATCTTGCCTCGTAATATTTATTAGCTACCTTTCTAAACTGATATATTTAGCAATTCATGGGGACACTTTCTTGTCAAACAGACTGTATACATGCTCTGTCCCTGGCTCAAATACTGAAGAACAGTTGACCAGTGTAGAGTTGACCAATGTATACCAAACATGGCCTGTTTCATTCACACAGATTTAGTGTTTTGAAACACAATCAATTCTTACTTCCATTTTCCTTTCAGAGTTTATTTTTCAAAAGTGCTTATTACACAGTGTTTATTTTTTATCTTGCTGTTCCCAGGCCAGACAACAAACACACGAGCACGATATGCGTCAGCTCAAACTCCAGGCTCAGAAAGAGGCCTATGAGGCCAACCAGCAACTTGAAGAGACCCAGAAAGCAGGGTCAGGTGCAGCAGGAGGGGCAGTGCCCCGGCTGAGTCGTGAGGAGATACAGACACTGAAGAAAGAGGCCATTCGGGCAGCAGCAGAAGCATGGAACCTTGGTCCCTCCGACAATAACAGACGTCAAGGACGGAAAGACAAATCCAGTTCTCGGGACGCAGTGTCAAGGTCAAGGGGTCAGAGTCAGAGATCGACACTGATGTGACCGATTCCTTGTCTAGGAAACCACGGAAGCCTATGTCTGTTTCTTACAGTGTCAGCAAGTCATATGTCCGACCATCAAGGTAGGAGAAACTTATAGCATAATGGTTGAAGATATCTCTATCATAAGGAGAATGTGTGTCCGAATTGTCTAGAACCATAATCATGCTCAGGGTTTTCTTTTGCCAAAGTTGAAGAAGTCTAAGACCAACATCACATAAGCTGACACACCATATTGTTACTGAGATACCATTCCTAGTGACTGTTACGGTTAAATAATTGCCATGAAAAAAGGTTAAGAATCCCCTTTGAACCAACGAAATATAACACAGACAAGTCTAAAATATTCAATAATATATTGAGCAAACAATGAGCAAGCTACATTGAATCACAATACAGATTTCTAATACAATGCAATTGAGTCACAAATCTAAAGTTTTGGGTCACATATGGGTCACAGCATGGCTGTATCATTAACCACTTAGATCTTTCTTGAAACGTGTTGAATATACGACATGACGATGTCAACACATAAACATCCGGTCAAGGGAGGTAGCTCTGGAGCGCTATCATAAAGGCGTGCCGCTAAAATACTGTTGCCACTGAACATATATGACTCGAAATGTGACCCACAACCAACACTCAAAACTTTAAACATTGTGCCTCATAATTATTATCACCTAACCAATGTTATTACAAATTACAAGAAACACACTCTCGTAACATGACATACAGCCCGAGTTGCACAATCAGCTGTATCAGAGCTGTATGTGGCGTTGTTTAGATGGTAAATGGTATACTGGGGCGTTTTGTTAGCCTTGTTGTTTCAGCATTCACTTGTCATGCTGATAACCCGGGTTTGATTTCCCACATGGGCACAATGTGTGAACCCATTTCTGGTGTCACCTGCTGTGATATTGCTGGAAGATTGCTGAAAGCGTTGTAAAGCGTCACTCGCTTTCTAATCGTAGAAGAGAATCCTGGTACCATCAGTGTTTGTCAGCAGTGTCTAAAGGTCAGATAACTTGCAGGAGTTCCGTGTCGGAGAGTGTGAGAACAGCTAAAGACTCTCAGCAGGACACCGACAGTGACAGCATCCGCACCGCCAGTGATGCTGAAGGCCGGGGACGTGTCCAAGATGAGCATCAAGGAGGACATCAGAGGTGAGATTCCTTGTGATGGCAGATGAACATCAGCAATTGTGAGAGCTTTCTATAATAACCTTCACTGACTGATCTACAACCAGCATTTCATGGCTTAATCAGTAAACAGTTTGTATGTTTCAATCATTTTGATTTTGATTTTACCATGTATCTGTTCAACAGATGAGGACTACACAATGTCTTTTGATGAGTCCATGACAGAAGATGAATCCTTCAGACAAGTACTGCCCTCAGAATCTCACGAAAAGAGGTCAAGCGTCGTCATGCCGACTCATCAGTTTTAGCTGCTGCTGATGAGACAGGTACTAATACATGTCATCGTTGATAAATATTTGCAGGTTAGCGCAAGGAGTTTTCGAAGAAACCCTATGGAGTCTTATGGAAGATGTTATGTAATTCTACAGATTGAAATTCAAAGTGTCATTGATCAAGATTTGAAGATTTACTTCGTTCTCAAATTGATTTACCACAAGCCATGGTGTTCATGAGTGTGTGAGATGTTGTACTCATTGAGTCGTGGTTTGTGCTCACAGGCAGTGGCAGTCGTCTTGCCATCGGAGACTTGACATCGTTGTTCGTGGGAGAGGACAACTTCAGCAAGTTCACGGCGGAGATGGTGCGTCAGATTATGCGTGAGGAGGAGCTGCGTGCACAGCACCAGGCGGCACTGCTGCGACTGCGGGAGAAGGCCCTGAAGGAGAAGACAAAGGCGGAGCTGGCGTGGATCAAGCAGCAGAAACAGTTGCGGCACCGAGGTCATGATGACAAGTACCCCGAGATCCACAAACAGGAGCAGTCGATTCTCCGGCGACAGAAGGAGCAGCAGGTGAGATCTTGGAGACTAGAAGAGCTTTTGTGAGTAGAGTTACTCTTGAAAAAAACTCACAAACATTTTTAGAAAGTCCATGATTGGCTGGACTATTTCACAGCTTTGGCCATTGGAGCTGTAGCATTTGTAGTGCTTTGAGCACCCACTTAGTGGTTGGATTTAGGACAGTATAAATTTCCATTATTATTATTATCTTAAAATAATTGTGTATTGCGGACATTGTGAAAGTTGTTGATTTTCTCCATGTCACTATTAAAACCAAAGGGAAGTAACTCTAACACAAAGTTGTGACAATCCTTCCAAATTAACACACAAGAGCATTCAGTTATATGACTGAATGTTCAGGTGTGTAATATGTATTTAGAACTAAAGGTGACTGTTGAAAAAGATTGTTTGATTATTATGCAAAATTTTGGCATTTATAACTATTTAAAGTCATATGGCAAATAAGTGTGACACATTAATAGTTTGATATAGAGTCCTTGCTGCTACTTTGTCAGGACTCTTTTGAGATCTTTGCTATGATCAGTTACTGGCTGTTTATCTGTGTAGTGGCTTTCATATAACTGCATTCAACACTTACTCACTCACTCTATGTTTTGTAGGAGGAAATTCGCCGCCTTCAGGAAGCCAACAAGTTGGCGAGTCGGGAACGACAGTGTCTCCTCCAGCAGCATGAAGAAATTGCAAAAATGAGACAGTCAACCAAAAAGGTCAGGACAGTTAGAAGATGATAATTTATGATAAGGTGAAAATGTCACATGTATTGTAGGGGACACCAGGGTATTGAAGCAACATGCATTAGAATTATTTTGGCCCCAGGCTGCAACTTCAGGTAGGATCTTAAAATGACCTGCTGCCAATGTTGTTTACAAGGGCACATTTTGGGAGGCTTTTTTCCATTGACCATTATTAAAGTTAAATACAGCCAGTAGATATTGTACCTGTGAAGATTTCATCAGAATTTGTCTTTAGCAACCCCTGCTTGTCATAAGAGGAAACTAACGTCAGGGGTAAGGCTGTGTTGGTGTGGTGGTGTCAGCCTGGTCCAGATGAGACATGTCATTGCCTCCCAATTATCCTGGATTGTCTGGTCCAGACCCGATTACTTGCAGACCACCATCAACAAACACACAAACAGTATATATTGAATTTTGCTATCTAAGCAAACTTTTAAGAAAGAAACACATATCACTTAGATGATGATGATGATGATGATGATACCTGTGACAAAGACCCTGAGGTTATGTCCACCCTCTATTTACTCATGTATGTTTTACTTCTCATCAGACTCTAGGGCATCTGAGGCCGAAAGGTCGACTACATCGGCCAGTGGAGGTTCATACAGAGGATGAAGTCAGTGCAGTAAGTTTAAAGGGAAATAGGATAAACCAAATATATGTATTGCCCAGTCATTGATTGCGTAAGTCACCATGCATGGTGCATCTCTTTGGCATACCTGAAACCTGTGATGCTTGGTTTGAATACCTGATTTGCTTTATCATAACCGTACACAGGCTGTAGAAATGTGATCAATGTCTGCTTACAAGCTATGATATGAGTAAAATAAGCAGCGAGTAGCCAAACTCAGTCGCTCACTCATTAGTGGTATAAGCTAGGAGTACATTTAAAAACTTTTAAGAGACTACTGAAAGCTTGAAGCTCACCCTCTTAATGTGTGTACATAGTTTTGATGTGTTTTCTAATCTGTCTTCAGCTGGATGATGCATCAGACGTCAGTGAAGATATGTCACAACTGAAAGGTGAGATTTCCAACTTGATTCACACACAGGGATTTACAGGACGCGAATTCCTGCGTCCTATATGCATAAAAATTGACAATGGATGCAACAAAATTTATTAGAGCATCCACAGGGATGTCAAGTAACAATAAGTTATCACTGAATTTGCTACCAGCTGGGGTATGGTATTATTTGCAATTTAATTACTGTAACAATGTGATGATCATGATACACAATACAATATCAGTATTAATTATAATATTTAAGTGTCTGGGACCCCCATTTTGTAGTCCAGGACCCCTGAAAATTAAGCGTATGAGTCACCGAGACCCTCAAATACAGGACTCCAGGTAAATCCCTGTACACAGATATGCAATCATTCATATATGTTGTGACCTTGAAGTTAGTGTCCCAGACAAAACCAACCTTGTACAGGGTTCTTACACATACTGGTAAGATGTGATATTGTTGAGGTCAGTATCTAAGTTGGGGTATATTGTGACTGTGTGCAATTACAGTTATTAATTACAGAACCTTGATTGCTTGTCTCAACTCTTCTTAATTTCTGCTTTTGATTTTAACAGGTAACACAATGTTTCTTGTCATTCCAGACTACAAGTCAGACTCAGAAGTGTATGGGAAGGAGACGAAAACCAGACGCAGAGCAAAGGGAGATAAGCAGAAGATAGACAAGCAGATGAAGAACAGGCTGGACCAGAAGTGAGTTTTATTCCTTTCTACATGCCATGTTTTTAAATCAGTGAGCGGTATAAGTATCATTATCCACAACCACAAAGTGGGAGGGATATTAGTTTGAGTTCCGTCTGTCTGTCCGTCGAGATAATGGGGACAGATTTTCTCAAAAACCTTGGAAACCAAATTTGGTATGTATTTTCAGGACACAAATGCCTTGATGGAAACCATGTACATGATTCTTTACAGAGATATGGCCCTTGTCATGCATTTCTTGTCTATCTGCATGTTATCCCCAGTGGGAACAGATTTTCGTTTGTAATACCTTTTAATCAATGTGTACTTGATTAGGTACTTGACGTCTCGGGAGCAGAAGCTTCACAATCGCCGGCGGAATGCGGAGGAGTTGTTGGCATGGAAACAGCGGCTGGATGAAGAGGAACAGGAGGTGTTCACACTGGAAAAACAGGCGCTGTCTGTCTGGGGTGATGAACGGGCACCACCAGGTGGCGCTGCTGGCAAACAGGACCGACCTCCATCCAGGAGGGGCAGACCAAGGTCGTCTCAGCAAGAGGACACAACTTCGAAGAAAGGTGGGTGTGGAGAAATAATGGAGGAATGCGTCTTCATATCAACAGCCAGCATTATTGAACCAGCCTAGAACATTATTGAACTGAGAACCTGTGACAAAGAAAGTGTTTCTAGGGAAGAGATTGTAAGGAAAATGCTACTACATTACATTACTGAAAGTTTGTCCCACTTGATGGTAATCCCTTCGCGCATTAACTTCTGTCCAAAAACAAATATACTAATTCAAATGAGCTAAGGTGTTTGTTGAGGTGATTGTAGCCAGTATAAATTTTCTGACTTTCTTTCATTATGTTGCGGGGCGGTTGGGTAGCCTAGTGGTTAAGGCGTTTGCTCGTCATGCTGAAGACCCGGGTTCGATTCCCCACATGTGTACAATGTGTGAAGCCCATTTCTGGTGTCCCCCGCCCTGATATTGCTGAAATATTGCTAAAAGCTGCCGTGGTATTGCTGAAATATTGCTAAAAGCGGCGTAAAACTAAACACACTCACTCAATGTTGCAAGTAAGTGTTGTGTAAGTTAAGTGAGGTGAAATAGGGCTTTACGTCGTGCTTGAGAATATTTCGCCCATATGACGACGTGCATGCGTGTGTATGTGTATGTGCGGCTGCTTGTACTAGCCCAGACTTAAGCTGGTTTTATAGTGCTAGCTCACTGAGATACCATGCTGCAGTGAAGCATGAAGACTCCACTCAGACACATTATACTGTCTCCGAGCCGACCAGTCCTTGTTGTACCCTTTAATGCCTAGCGGCAGACAGGGAACAACTGTTGTGTAAGTGTCCCGGTCAGGCAAGATATGCTTACACTTTTCAAAATCATTTGGTTTCATCTCTGACTTTCTGTGATCCATTAATATCATTTTGAGTATAAGATAGAAATAATGTTGCTGGAATATTGCACTCGACTTTAAAAGCAGTGTAAAACCCAACTCACTCACTCACTTGTTATGTTACAGTAGTTTCCAAGGAAGCAGGTGCTGCTCATCGAGATGAAACAACTATCTCGGAACAGTTGAGTACTGCTAGAGACGAGACTGGATCGAGGGCACGCGGTACCTCCTATACCCAGAAATCTGATGCCATCTCCACACAAATTAGTGCAACACGCACTGAGAGATCAGAGAAGAGGTCGAGGGGCGAGAGGTCAAGGTCACCAGCAGCTAGTGGAAGTGAAGGATCAATACCGGAAGAGATTCCTGCACGGTCTGACGAGGGATCCACATCCAGTCCAGAGAAGAAGTAAGTCAGAATATGGAACATTTTATTGTTAGAAGAGATTTCCCTTATCCTTTTGTACTGGATATTTGCTTTGTATTGAATAGGGTCTGTTGGAGGTGAGGTGAGGTGAAATTGGGTTTAATGTCGTTCTTGAGAATATTTCGCTCATATGACGACGTGCATGCGTGTGTATGTGTATGTGTGGCTGCTTGTACTAGCCCAGACTGAAGCTGGTTTTATAGTGCTAGCCCACTGAGATACCCTGCCGCAGTGAAGCATGAATACCCACTCAGACACATTATACTGACTCCGAGCGACCAGTCCTTGTTGTACCCATTAATGCCGAGCGCCAGGCAGGGACCAACAAGTACCATATTTTAACGTCTTTTGGTATGACACGGTCGGGGATCGAACCCGCGACCTTCCGCTCTCCGGGCGGACGCTCTAACCACTACACCACGGAGGCGGTCAGGGTCTGTTGGAAGGCATAGTGGTTGAATCTTAAGGTCTGTCACACACTGTATGATTCACTGTTGGTTGTATAAGTGAAATCTGTGTCCTTTGAGTCCTAGGCGGTGGGGTAGCCTAGTGGTTACCCGGGTTCAATTCCCCACATGGGTACAATGTGTGAAACCCATTTCTGGTGTCCCCTGCCATGATATTGCTGGAATATTGCTAAAAGTGGTGTAAAACTCACTCACTCACCCACTCCTTTGAGTCCGTTTATCTTCAGTGTGAATCTTTGAAGAAATTCCTGGTTTATCAGCACCAAGCCTATGGGTTTCAACACTTGCCTCACTCTGGGCTTTCCTCACATGTTTTCATGTCCCAGTTGCATGGATTGATGCTTATGATGTCCATCATCGGATTGTGTGGACCTGATTATTCATAGGCTGCCGTCATATGGCTGAAATATTGCTGAGTGCAGAGTTAAACAAAAAGAAATTCCTCAAAAATTCAGCTAACTGGCACAATTAGAATTAATACTGTTCAAATCCAACCCTACTGAGTCACTGATAACATGTGTTCTACATCTTTATTATTTCCCCAGTGATGACACGATAGTTCAAATCCAAGCCTCGGTGGTGGATGACTACAACAATGATATTGCTTTGAGCAGGACACCACTCTTGACCCCCAGCAGGAAGAAGTCCCTCGGTGGTGGATGGTTCCTCCCGCAGGGCAGTTCCCCTCTCCCCTCCCCTCACCCTGGTCCAGGAAGGGAGGGTCAGAGAGTGAATCAGAGGACTCTATCTCTCACACAGGTAAACATCTCACTGATTCTTATGTAATGAAGATAATCATCATAGATACTGAGTAGTCCCTTGACCATGACAGAATTTGCTGATTGACTTTTGCTGATTTTGTGAGCAGTTTGTCAGAAACCTACCTACAGATTTTACCAAAGTGGGCTATAACATTTGCAGTCTTCTCACTCATTCACTTATCACCCTTGAAGATCGGGGTTAGAATTGATCCTCAGTAACCCATGCTTGTCGTAAGAGGCAACTAACGGGATCGGGTGGTCAGGCTCGATGACTTGGTTGACTCATGTCATCGTATCCAAATTGCGTAGATCGATGTTCATAATGTTGATCACTGTATTGCCTGGTCCAGACTCAATTATTTACAGACCACCGCCATAAAGCTGGAATATTACTGAGTGCGGCGTAAAACTAAACTCACTCACTCACTTATCCTCACAGAGACCCTGTCTGATGCAAGCGACTATGAAGTTAGGATTCGGCAGCTGAGTGACGAGGTACGGAGGCGAAGGAGGGAGGTGGACATTCTCAAGAAGGACCGGAAGAAGAAGGCCAAGGAACGGATGAGGGCTCAGGAGGATTCGCTCAAGAAGCAGATAGAGGTGAACCCATCACATGTATTCTTCATCTTTGGTAATGACTCTCTGATAAGTTATCCACAAAATGCAGAGAATTTATGGATGTCAGCTTCTGTGTAATGAGGAACAAAACCTTTTCAGAGTTGCAGAGTTCATGTTGTTCTTCTTGCATGTACAACATTCTGAACCTTAGTAGGCAGACAAATAATGTAAACAGTTGCACTTGCAGTACAGTTTGGTTGCCTCCCTCTCTCATGCCAGGATCTGCTGGTTGTATGTTTGATTGATCATATTGCTTAGTCTGTGCGGACTATTCCATACACATGACAGATATATAACCTGCATACATTTATTGGGCAAGTCAGAATGTTACTAGTTTACAGATGGAGGTGGATGTAAACATAGATGTGCTACGTTTTAACAGGCATACGACAACTACATCACGCAGCTGCGACATGACCAGATTGATCTTGAACATGATGCTGTCAAGGCAACAGTCAAGCCTCAGATAAAGCATCCCAGAGTCACAACAGGGAAATCACCTGGGAAGGGAAGACAGCAAGATGTGTCTCCCAGCAAGAGGACACCAGATGGTGAACATAACCACTCCTCCAGCTTCGAGGACACTCGGGATGGCACAGAGTCCAGCCACACCTCACCATCACTGTCAGACAGCAGGGGTAGGTTAAGCTTAGCCAGAAAACTTACACAAATACTGTCAGAATCAGAGAAAATGCTGATTAATTTGGTTTAACTTTCACTGGAGTTGGACTGTGATTAGACAAGAGACATCATCGACAAATATTGGAGTTGTTATAGCAGAAGTATCACATCTAATAAATGTGCAAAGTTAAATTGTTGTGTTAAATTGTCGTTGACACTTTTGTCATGGTATTGGGGTATTTAGTTGCACATTAATGCAAGTGTCTCATTGGGACGCTAATTGGTATAGATGATAAATTTTGTATCACTTAAGGAAATGTGAACATGCAAGTAAAGCTTTATTTATTCTCTGAAACCAGGTATTATACTTTCCTGCAGGCTTGTTGTGTTCAATTAATCATTGTCTTCTCTCTACAGATCTGAAGCTGTCTCCAGTTCAGGAGGACAAACCAGGGAAGAAGAAGTCTCCTTTCCTCGACCGCATCTCCGAAGGCAGTGAATCCGACAAGTCTGGAGCATCAGGAAAGAAGGCAGGACCAGGTCCACGTGACAAGTCTGAGTCTAGTGTATCGGAAGTCATTGAAGAGTTATCCAATGTAGAGGACAGTGTTGTGTCAGAGAGAACTGTGTCCGGCTTGATCCAGATCAAAACTGACCTGCCTGCTCTGGCTGACTCACACAGCAAACAGAGTCTCCATGACGACGACCCATCCTACAGTATGACCTTCACAGATGCTGTGTCCGTGAGCCAGGACAATTCTAAACTACCTCTAAGTGTCCACAGTCGCTTGGATGTGCCTGACCAGACTGTTGGGACAAAAGACAGGTCTGAAGTGTCGGTGTCCGAGCAGTTGGAGGAAGCCCTGTCTCTTAGATCAGAACAGTCAACATCAGTGCCCTTAAAGATAGATCTGAACAAAGACTCAAGTGTCAAAGCAGGAAACAAAGCCAGTGAAAAATCCTACACAACAGGAATACCGGAATCCGACAGTGAGAATGAAACAAAATCTCATCACACATTATCCTATTCTACCACAAAATCTGAGGGCACTGCATCTCGCCCATCTAGTGAGAAGTCTGTGGCCAGTACAAATTACAGTCAGGACTTTGAAGAGGAAGATCTGTCTGAGTCAGAGAGGACACCTGTTCAGTCTGTTCCAGCTCCAGCTTCAGCTCTGCCCAGCATCAAATCTGGTGGTGGCAGAACTGAGGAGGAGGTCAGTGAGGTCATCTCCGCCAGTCTTCCGTCCATCTCGGAGAAGAAGGCATACAATAGGCAGGACACTTGGGACAACGCACTGCTGGCTGACGTCCTGGGAGGACTGGATGATCTGGAAGATGACGAAGACAAGACACCCACTGAGACTCCACGTGAAGGATCACCACCTCCACTTGGCCAGGAGGAAAACAGTGCTCTTCTGATGACAGATCCATTAGCTGACTTTAACCTTGGAGACAAAGTACTGGTGTGGGGAAGGAAGAAAGGGACATTGTTGTATAAAGGCAAGGTGGATTTCGCTCCGGGAATTTGGGCTGGGGTGGAGTTGGAAAAGCCAGAGGGTGATATGAATGGCACATCAGGGGGAAGAGAATATTTCTCATGCCGTTCCCAGTATGGTGTGCTTGTTCATGGAAGTGATATATCTCCCCAGATTGAGATAGATGAGAACTTGATGAATGATGTTAAAAGTCCAGATGATTCGGTCACAGATGTTTCCGCTGCAACTGAAACAGAACTTGAAAAGGAGATCCTTAATGCTGCCGAGAATGTTGAGTCCTTTGTCACAACACCGCCACAGTCGCCAGGTGTAAAGAAGAAACGTGATGTCAACAGTCTGGCTGATGACATCACAGACCATCTTGCAATGTCAATAGTGAAGGATTCAATGGAGACTATGGGAACCATTGCCGCCAAACATGCTCCTCCAGAAAAGAAGATTCCTCCTGCCACACTGCCAAAACCAAAACTCCAGCAGCAGACCGTCACCGCTGTCATAGAGAAAGTTCCTGATCAAACCACAGAGACAATAAAGCCATCTTCTCCAAAGGACGTCAGCGCAGACAAGGCCACCGACAGTGTCATGGACAGTATGTTGAATGAAGCTATCTCACAGATGGTGTCCATCAGAAACAAGCAGCGGAGTCGGACAGATGGGGATAGAGATGCCTCAACTGGCCAGGTCAATGGTCATCTGTCATCCGATGAACTTGACTCCCTATCAGCTGGAGGGCTTCTGAATAGTGGAAGGGAACAAAAGCCGGACATCCTGGTTCTTGATGATGGTGCTGATCTCATTCAAAGGCCTGAGTCACCCATGCCTGGAGAGGTGAGATGTTGTTGCTCTATGTTTGTCATCTGTGGATCATTGCATTGTAATGACAATTTCAGATGTACTTTACAGATATTGGATAGGGAAGGTCAAATGGCAAAACTTAGTGATCCTATTGAATATCATCAACATTGAATGATATAGGAAGGCCAAAACTGTTTTTGTTTTGGACTTTCAGTGCTTTTAACAAAGTGTGACTGTTTTTATGGTGTGTTTGACTGTAACCCTTTTCATCTGTGTGTGACTGTCTTGCAATGTATTACCATGTAACACAGTTTAAATACTTATGTAACAGTCTAACATTGAGTGACTGGGTGATGATGTATCACTAACACTGTGTGAATATGTTCATCAATATGTGACATTGTTAAAGTATGGAACAAGAGGACTAACATTGTGACAGTGGGCCTACCACCGTGTCAGTATGTTCAGCAATGTGTGACTGTGTTACAGTGTGTGACTAACACTGTGTCAGTATGTTTCAGCAATGTGTGTCAGTATGTTCAGCAATGTGTGTCTGTGTTACAGTGTGTGACTAACACTGTGTCAGTATGTTTCAGCAATGTGTGTCAGTATGTTCAGCAATGTGTGTCTGTGTTACAGTGTGTGACTAACACTGTGTCAGTATGTTCAGCAATGTGTGTCAGTATGTTCAGCAATGTTACAGTGTGTGACTAACACTGTGTCAGTATGTTTCAGCAATGTGTGTCAGTATGTTCAGCAATGTGTGTCTGTGTTACAGTGTGTGACTAACACTGTGTCAGTATGTTTCAGCAATGTGTGTCAGTATTTTCAGCAATGTGTGTCTGTGTTACAGTGTGTGACTAACACTGTGTCAGTATGTTTCAGCAATGTGTGACAGTATGTTCAGCAATGTGTGACTGTTACAGTGTGTGACTAACACTGTGTCAGTATGTTTCAGCAATGTGTGACAGAATGTTCAGCAATTCGTGACTGTTACAGTGTGTGACTAACACTGTGTCAATATGTTTCAGCAATGTGTGTCAGTATGTTCAGCAATGTGTGTCTGTGTTACAGTGTGTGACTAACACTGTGTCAGTATGTTTCAGCAATGTGTGACAGTATGTTCAGCAATGTGTGACTGTTACAGTGTGTGACTAACACTGTGTCAGTATGTTTCAGCAATGTGTGACAGTATGTTCAGCAATGTGTGACTGTTACAGTGTGTGACTAACACTGTCAGTATGTTTCAGCAATGTGTGACAGTATGTTCAGCAATGTGTGACTGTTACAGTGTGTGACTAACACTGTGTCAGTATGTTTCAGCAATGTGTGACAGTATGTTCAGCAATGTGTGACTGTTACAGTGTGTGACTAACACTGTGTCAGTATGTTTCAGCAATGTGTGACAGTATGTTCAGCAATGTGTCTGTTACAGTGTGTGACTAACACTGTGTCAGTATGTTTCAGCAATGTGTGACAGTATGTTCAGCAATGTGTGACTGTGTTACAGTGTGTGACTAACACTGTCAGTATGTTTCAGCAATGTGTAACAGTAGGTTCAGCAATTCGTGACTGTTACAGTGTGTGACTAACACTGTCAGTATGTTTCAGCAATGTGTGACAGTATGTTCAGCAATGTGACTGTTACAGTGTGTGACTAACACTGTGTCAGTATGTTTCAGCAATGTGTGACAGTATGTTCAGCAATTCGTGACTGTTACAGTGTGTGACTAACACTGTGTCAGTATGTTTCAGCAATGTGTGTCAGTATGTTCAGCAATGTTACAGTGTGTGACTAACACTGTGTCAGTATGTTTCAGCAATGTGTGACAGTATGTTCAGCAATTCGTGACTGTTACAGTGTGTGACTAACACTGTGTCAGTATGTTTCAGCAATGTGTGACAGTATGTTCAGCAATGTGTGTCTGTTACAGTGTGTGACTAACACTGTGTCAGTATGTTTCAGCAATGTGTGACAGTATGTTCAGCAATGTGTGTCAGTATGTTTCAGCAATGTGTGACAGTATGTTCAGCAATGTGTGACAGTATGTTCAGCGATGTGTGACTGTTACAGTGTGTGACACACTGTGTCAGTATGTTTCAGCAATGTGTGACAGTATGTTCAGCAATGTGTGACTGTTACAGTGTGTGACTAACACTGTGTCAGTATGTTTCAGCAATGTGTGACAGTTTGTTTCAGCAATGTGTGACAGTATGTTCAGCAATGTGTGACAGTATGTTCAGCAATGTGTGAGCAGTATGTTCAGCAATGTGTGACTGTGTTACAGCATGGCCTTGAGGACCTGGACCAGGATATTTCCGGCTTGCTGGGGATGGAGGAAAACGAATACTTTGATGACGACATGGGTCTTGTGAAGATGGGGAAACCTCCCCCTCCTTATCCTGGCGGACCAGATCAGGGTAGAGGTAAGACTGTAATACATGTTCAGTGAAACTGTGTGTCTGGAAACCCCACATTCAGGACAATAACAGATGGTAAGATCTTTATCTGATGGGACATGTACTAAGGATTGTGTTAATTGTTGAACAACTTTCTGGAAAAAAATTCTGAATTAAATGGAATAATTCCCAGAATGTCAAAAGGTTGGCTGTCACAACTTCTAACATCATCAAACCAAGATTACTTGTTTAGTTTTGGGAGTTGCTGCTTACAGCTACTGCACCAGGTGCATCTGCTGTGTCAGCGTAGATGAAACAACGCCTGACTATTTCAACTTTTGTTGACCAACTCGTTTATTAAACATTTTTCCGTTTGTTGTAGGGGGTGAGGCATCTGCAGCTCCACCTGTGCCGGAGGAGGTAGTGTTTGCTGTCCCTCACCAACAGGATGAAGTGGAGTCCATTGTCTCCAGCGCCATCGATGTGTACTGGAACTGTCGCCGATGTGGTGAACCCATGGATAATGTGGAGCCTCCTGAAGAATACTTCAAGTCAGCTGAGAACGGGCGGGATATGGCCAGTCATAGCAGACGTGTGTTTAAGCAACTTTTGTTTGATTTGACAGGGGAGATAATCCAGGAGATATATAAGGATGAGCATGAAGCAGACCCTCCTGCATGGCAGAAACCTAGAAAGAAACAAACGAAATATTACAAAGGGTTGTCACCTCCCACGACTGTTGACCGTCTGCGACCAATTGTTCAGAGTGCAGTTAGTGAAATCATGGGTATTAATGGAACTCGGAATTCAGATAGGGCAGTTAATAAGTGGAATATTCGAAAGAAACGTGATCACGTGGACAATGTACTTGTGCAGGAGCTCCGTGCCGAGGAGCCCAGTTGGGTGAACTATGACGCAGATGAAATGTCAGTAAAGAATCATCTGACCGATGTCATTATGGAAACTCTGCTGACAGACACTGTACATACACTGAACAAGATCTTCCAGAAGCGACACTACAGGTCACAGCAGAGCTAGACATGGTGGTCAAACTTAGAATGTCAAATTCCAAGGAGGTGGACAAAGTTGCAGCTGAGCTAAACTGCATGACTCTTATCATTGTCAATGGATCCAAAATCTGCAGGACTGACAGGACCTACATAATATGGATCCACTTACTAGATCTTGATTCTCAAACAACCTCAATCTGTGATAATTATGTTGTGAGAGTCGAGCTGGGAATGAACAAGCAGTGATCTGTTTGATCCCATGATGAGTTTGTCTGCAAACAAAATGGTTGCTGCAGCAACTAATAAGCCCAGAATCAGGACAGTGTTGCCAGGGAAACAACTTGCCTGAATAATGATGCTATATTGGCAAACTATCAAGCAAAGATGTATATTTCAACTTGCCCAAAGGACACTTTAATAGCTCAGATTATTTTGGCGAGTAATGTTCCCTGATTGCCATTGGATACGTCACTGTATGTGTGACTTGATATGCTGAGTTAGGGCTGGTAGCCCGCAGCACACAGTTTAGTTCCTGGACATGTAACAGGATGTGGACCTGTATGACAAGTAAGGGTTTGTTACGACCCTTATTCTCTTCCTCTGTGATGCATTTGTGTAGCCCTGGCTAGCTGCTTACATTTCTTGTACATAGCTTCTTATTTATTGTCAACTGGACACCACTGGCAATGAGGAGGCTGGAGTGTGATATATGATGTATCTGCCATGGTATACTGCTTGTATTCGGGTAGACAAGTGTGATGAAGGCTAGTAGCAGATGACTGTATGTGTGTGTATCCTGTTGGAATCAGCATGCTTCAGCTGCACATGTTTGAGGGGGCAAGACTTGAAGGATGTTCATGGATAACTGCCTCCAACACTTGTTCCAGGAAGTAAACACCAGGATGAATTTTAGGAGTGAAAATGTTCCATAGGATTCAGGATATGTTCAGGACTAGGAAAGAAATCATGTACAATATACCAGCCATTGACAGGCATATCTTTGTTGGGTGTTATATCATGGTGATATCACCATGGAGTGATGATCTGACATCAATCTTGGAGACTCATGTGAGACAGTGCAGTGTTGTCCAGACTCTCAGATGTTTAGACTGTAGGGTTGAGTGGTCAATCACATCAAGCTTCCACAGTGGCTGATTAGCTGTGTTTGTTACGGCCAGTGTACATCATGCAAGTCCATCTATAGACTTCGGAGTCATCGAAAATGTTGTTTTTGTGTTACGTTGTAATTACTACAGGGCAGCTATGCCTAGATTTATGTAGAATGTGTCATGTACTCCCAGATATCACTGTCAGGCTGATCCAGGTAGGCCATGTTGTGAGAAGGGTATAACTCTAGCAGTTGTATATTTCTGAAATGCTCCATTCCATGGGTTGAGTTGACAGACATGGGAGTGCTCAATCTGACTTGCTGTTGTAGATCTGTCTCACATTACATTCCGTCCTTTGAACACAGGGTCAAGGGAGGGGCAACATTGTTGGTACTGGGTGTTAGGGGTGGAGGGAGGGGCAACGTTGTTGGTGCTGGGTGTAAGGGGTGGAGGGAGGGGCAACATTGTTGGTGCTGGGTGTAAGGGGTGGAGGGAGGGGCAACATTGTTGGTGCTGGGTGGAGGGAGGGGCAACATTGTTGGTACTGTTAGGTGTTAGGGGTGGAGGGAGGGGAGGGAGGGGCATTGTTGGTACTGGGTGTTAGGGGTGGAGGGAGGGGCAACGTTTTGGTGCTGGGTGTTAGGGGTGGAGGGAGGGGCAACATTGTTGGTACTGGGTGTTAGGGGTGGAGGGAGGGGCAACGTTGTTGGTGCTGGGTGTAAGGGGTGGAGGGAGGGGATGATGGTGAGAAGAGGGGGGGGGTCTTTGGTGGAGAGGAGATAAGGAGGCAGGAGAGGATAGTGAGTAACGTGAGATAGTGATAGTGGGTTTGGGTAGAGGGTGGTAAGCACTTGATTCTGTAGGTACAGCTGTGTCTGCTTGATGGAGCGTCAGGAGGTGGGTATTGGGGTGTGAGGGTGGATAGAGGGACATGGTGGTGGACATGGGGCTGTGAATGTGGAGTGAGGATGGTGGGTACTGGGGTGTTTGGGTAGAGACAATGAGTTGGTACGTTGGTGTCTTACTGGCTCAGGATGGCAGGTACAGGAGTGTTTTTTAAGATGTGTGGTTGGACAAAGGATCTGGATGGTGGGTTGTGTTTTGAGTGTCTAGATGGTGGGGATGGTTCTAGGGGAAGTGGTGGGATTGCCAGTTAGGATGCTGGGTGTTTCAGATGTAAGTGTTGCGAGGAAGAAGGGCAGAGGAGGTATCAAATGAGGCCAACAGTGTGAAGGGCTTGGTGGTTGGGATGTTTGGTTTGAGGATTAGGTAACTTGTTTTGGGACCTTATGTTATACTTCTTTTACCACCTTGACACTGCAGGAACAGAAATAATTTAATTTGTGCAGCGGGAGTTATTGAAGGATTGGAGAAGGACAGGGGTTATGAATGAGTATTTAAGTAAAGAAAATGCTAAAGGATGTGGTCAAGAGTTCAGAATAAATGTTTGGTAGCATTAGAATGAAAGACCAACTTTTGACATTGACCTCAACCAGTCCCGACCTTGAACCTGTGTTCTGACAGATATTTCTGTCTCTGCTCATCATGTCCACGGACTTCATTCCACCATAATCAACACTGTGCCTTATAACTCCACGCACAATGTAGATATCTGTATGAGTGTTGTGCCAGAGATGAAGCTTTAAATAAATATAAGATACCGATGTGGACTTTTTGCCGGCTTAGCACGGCTATACAGGGCTGTAACCTTTCACCAAAGCATTAGTTAATAGAGATATGTGAGTATCCTGTCATCTGGTATTATGTTGATACAAAATGATACATGAATGTACAATAGAACATATCACCTGTTAAATTATGGAAAGTATTAAAATTAGTTCGCAACAGTTGTTTAGTATTTGTGAACCTGACTCAGTTAAAAACATCTTTGTAGAGTCTCAAGTATTCTCACTGATGATAGAACATGGCTCCTAAATATTTTGAGATTCATGTATGGTATCACACTGTTTTTGTACGTTTTGTATTCTGGCTGAGTGTATGGTTGTGGCTGTAGTAGTGGAAGTAAGTTCAGTGATCACCCAGGCTTAAACAAGTGGTTAATTTGTTGCCATCTCCCACTGAAATTCCAAGTTTGTTTCTTATTGGCAGCATGCGGGAACCCCATTGTGATATTGCTGGAATATTGGTAAAAGTCGAATAAGACAGTATCCACTCACACGCACATATCTCCATGAGCCAAAGTAAACATTGTACAGACTGTGCCTTCATTGTGTCATCATCGCCATCTGTCATTATTTATTTCAGCTATTTATTGCAGTCCTGTTCACATGTCAGTCAGCGTACCTATTAGTGTCTCTCATGTAGAAAGCTACTTTGTTTCCTTGTTTTGTTTTGAGTTGTTGTTGTGCTGGTGCCATGTGACGCCTCGTGTATAGACCTGAGTGATATTACACCCCCGACCTCAGAGTGTAGTCAGGGCAATGATCTGGGGAAGCCATATCAGACTGAGGGAGAAGTCAATTCTGAATGTATCCAAGGAATACTAATATTATCCTTGTGGGCAAAATTAGATAATATATTATATGCTAGTCAATGTTTGATAGGGATGATGGATAACAAGAATGTGTACTTATGTTTGTTTTTTGTTGAAATGAAGCTGAAAAAGTTTCCATGGCAACATACTACTTGTATGACAACTTGGCCAACCAGTCAAACATATTCAGTCCTCAGATGGAACATCATGATTATCCCTACCAAACGTTGGGTGGTATGTAACATCACAATAACTGGTAGATAAACTGTGGAAGATCTGTAGGCACACAGCAGTGAACTCTTGACCTCAATGAACAAGCAGAGCAGTCCATTTTTACTTGGGGGTACACTGTCTGCATGTGCAAATCATGCCAGTCTAGTAGACCCCCTTTCAGTAAATGGCCTCGCTCAGCTAGAGAAAGCTGGGGGACCTGGTGATGAGGGGACGAGAATGGGTGCATCCCCTCTGTTTCTTTTCAAAATCCTGGATCCACATCTGTATAAGTTGAGTCCATTATCAATGTTCCAAGGAAGCTACTTAACCTACACTGATATGTTCCGAATTATATGAATCAAAGCTGTGATCAATCCAATGTGTAACCCAGGGCTTCGTAGGATTGTCTTGAGGACATGTAAAAGTAGGATCCCAATCTCTGGCACATCCCATTCCTGCTGGAGTAAATTTATCTTAACAGGACATTATGAAAGTTTTTGAATGGAAATCTTAAGAGTTGAATCAGAATCTTTAGAATATGTCAGGAGGAAAATATACTGTGTACATTGTTTTGCTTGTTTAAGTTCTCATTTGAGTTATCGTGTCTTGCAAGAAAGTTTAATCACATTCTTCTGTAACTGGCTGCAGACTTAATGTCCACAATTCATACAAGGAAATCTCTTTCATTCATACTGCTATCTACATGTCATCTCAAACTGGCTTCCACAGGAGATATCACTTTTGTCAGATGAAGCCTTATCTCCAAGGATGTATTGCTTCAATAAATTGTAACACAAAGCTTTGCAGAACATTGTGATGTCATCAGCTATCTTGATGTCACAATCGAATGACATCACAAATCTCAGCCTCAGAAGCTGGTTAGCTCTACTTTTTGCTCTCAAGTGATTATTACTGATTATAAGCTGAATAGGTTGAAATAATGATTTTGGATGATTAATAGATGTCACGCTCTTGTCTTTGATATCAAATATCAGTGATATCAATGTCACAGAAGATGATGGAACTTTGTTAGGCAGAATCAGCATCACCCCATGGCCAAATATTGGCCATGTTTTGACTCCTTGTTTGAACTTATTGCCTCTTAATGTCAGAAATCCGTAAATGAAATTGCATGTCATGCAATATTAAGTATCATTCTGCCTTTTGAATAGGAACAAAGGGGAGATAACCCTGTTTTTTGGTATTTGTGATTGTTTCAGTGCTGTATAAGATGGAAGGAGGGAAAGACTGTGCTATGGATGATGATAATTCACTTCTTTCAACACACTGAAATTACTATGGGTATTTTTCTTTCCAAACGTTTGGATCTTGAAATCTGCAGATATATATAAATATATGAGTATTATTAGCAAATGTATGTATATTTTTTATATTGTGATGTACAAATTGAAATTAGCTCACGTGCAAATAATGTTTCATGTACATTCAATAAATCCATCCATCTGATAATTTGTATGGTGTTTTGTGTATATATTTTTTGGTGAAGTTACAAAATACATTGTTTTGATGACTGACAGCAAATAGGCCTGAAAACATGGGTTAAAATAATTGAAAATGTTGCTTATTTTAAAAGGTCAATAAGACGTGAAATACAGGTCAGTTAACTTTTCATTGAGAATGAGTACAGTGAGTGAGTGAGTTGGGTTTTATGCCGTTTTAGCAATATTCCAGCAATATCACAGCGGGGACACCAGAAATGGGCTTCACACATTGTTCCCATGTGGGGAATCAAACCCAGGGCTTCGGCGTGACGAGCGAACGCTTTAACCACTAGGCTACCCCATCGCCTCGAGAATTGGTACAGATGTACATCAGATGTAACACACTTAAGTAATATTTCCAGCAACATTTCAGTCAATATAAAGAGAACATGCTATTATTGATGGTGCTTAACTTTTGCACATGTGTTTTCTTGGCACATTCACAGTTATTTAAAAGGTAGATTTATCAGCAGTGAAGGATTTAGATTCCAGCTGCTGATAATTAACAACCTAGCAGTTTAAATAGAAAACAGTTCTTAACACCAGAAGGTAACCAAGCTCATAGATACTTGCTAGAAAGGCTGGCTATACATATATACATACATTTCAGATGCTGTACAAAGGGGCAGTAGCCTAGTGGTTAAAGCATTCAATCGTCATGACGAAAAGACAGGTTCCATTCCCCCGTGGGTACAATGTCTGAAGCTGATTTTTGGTGACCCCAGCCTTGATATTCCAGGAATATTGCTGAAAGCGAAGTAAAATCATACTCATCCATACGCTGTACATGTATCACTTTACCCAAGTTTTGTCCTGGTTGATGTCCTGGGAGCCGTTGTACAAAGCGACCTTAGCGCTAAGGTGACCGTAACTCCCATACATTAACTTAGAGCTAAGGTTGTTTTGTACAACGGCATCCAGC